AAAGCTTTTGGTGTCGGTTCCGGTTCCGGTGTTCAATAATGAAAAAACCGCGGTTCTAACCGGTTTTAACCGGTTTTTGAAAAACCGGTTTCGATCCCTGCTATTTATACTAGAGGAACGAGGAATTGAACGGATTCCAATATAAAAGGAAATTTAACAACACTGCTAGTATAAATGGTTCACAATCAATATCTATAGTGAAACCTTATTTTCCAACAAACACATTTTGATGGAAACAGGAATCGAGCTTTTTGATTTTGACGGAGATAGGCCCGAATGAACTTCTTTTGGCAACATAGTTTTTTTCTTTTATAAAATAGGTACAATAATGGAATAAGACATAAAATACACATTCTCTTTTTAATATTATTATATATTATTTTAATATTAGTATTAGGTAGTCTATAATTGACTTACGTTTTCCTTCACAAGCTGTCCTAGTAACCGACTTAGTAGATTTTTTGAGCATACTATTTGTTTGGCACACGGTTCGCTATTACCTGCCAATCTTACCAAACACAACACTGCATTCATTCTCACGGTAGGATTTATATTAATCACTAACGGCAGAATTATTTCAACAACGTGACTTTCGTATAAACATTCGACATAACCAGATTTGGATGCTAGTTCTGCTATGTTCTGCACGAACGACAACTGACTTTTTGCATAGTTATCAAAAGCTATTTTARAGAAGAAAATACATTTGTAGATAATACGTTTAGTATTATTTTATCTCGGGATACAGTGGAATACGTTACTATACTTTGTACGACGACTTTTGGATATGGACTCATCGTACTAGAAATATTGTTATAGACTAGTAAAATATTGAAATTCTATTATGTATAGATTATATGGACTCATCGTACTAGAAATATTGTTATAGACTAGTAAAATATTGAAATTCTTCAAATAGTCATGCAGAAATCTAAATAATACACATTAGGTATTTTACATGTTACCATAGAAACATATATTATATTTTTAATAGGTATACCGGCTATACCTACACATT